TAGTATTTAATGAAGCAATTTTAATGTCAATTACCGTTTAATGTTAAACATGCTCGCCAATTTATTTAGTTTAATTGGCATGAAATCTCTTCTCTGTAGAAAAATGGTCTCAAATAGGATTAATTGTAGGTGTCATCCTTCTACAATTAAAGAGGTTTTAGACCCAGCTGCACGAGTGATGAAGCTATTCAAGTGATGAGAGAGCTTAACATTTATCAATTTACTATGATGACAGCCTTCCAACAGAAAAATTCTTTAACTGTGACACTTTTATCTTGTTGGGATTCTCAGAAGCAATGTTTTAATATTGGAGGCCATTTTTTTACTTTCAGTGTAGATGAGATAGCAATGATTATAGGTATGTCGAATATGGGAGACGAGTTCATGTGGCAAAAGTCTCACTTGTCAAAGGATGATTCCACAAGAATGAAATAGAGGATGACTAATATTTAGTTCATGAATCTAGTGGCAATAATTAGCACATACATAAAATTCATTCTGTCAAACTTGTTTTTCCCTTATCACAACTACTCAATCCCTATGGAGTTGATGAGATATGTTGAAAATATTCAGAAATTTGTCACATATAATGGTTCAGAAGCTATTTGTGATTTTTTGGTATTTGAGTTTAATGTAATAACAAGTAAAATGAGGATGCAAAAGCCAATTGCATATATGAGTGGCTCATCACTCTCTTAGTGGTAGGTACTCATGAATCTTGCAAAGAATTTTTATCAATGTTGAAAAAAAACATAACATGTTAACTTATATGTAATGTAAATCTGGGTTTTGGAGCACAATTCATTGATTCAACCCATGATATCTAATACAAGGTCGCGCATTATGAGATGAGCAAGGTCTTATCCATTAACCCCAAATTTTTTTGAAGAATTCTTCGTTGCTTTGCATACACATTGGGTAACGATATGGTTCATTCTAATTCTTTCATATATCTAGAAAAGTTATCTTTAGATTTACCACTTTCATTTAGGAAAAGTTATTAGAAAAATCACTTTAATTGATATTCCAAACTAAGGTATGATAATAGTATGATAATAGTAAACTAGAATGTATGATAATAGTAAACTAGAATTAGCCTAAAGGATTTCTTATATCGCTTCTCTATGGGATCGATACTTGGGTTCATAAAAGAAAACCCTATATTACTTGAAACAATATGTATACTTGTGTAGAACCCCTAGTGTGTGAAAAACCCCTAGTGTGTGAACCCCTAGTGTGTGAAATATAAATCAAATTCTAAATTTTATAAAATATTATTTTGCACACTAGTGGCTTAAATATAAATTGGGTCAAGTTTTTTGTCAGAGCTTAAAAATCTATGTTCTATGTAATTGTGGGTCGGGTCGTTGTCTAGTGCATTTAAAGTGTTAGAGGCTTCTTCGACTCAGACGATGAGTAAATTCTTTTGTTGAGAGTGTTTTTCAGCTTTATAGTTGGACCTCTCCTCTCTTTTACACTTCAACAGCATCGTCATCACTTTGGCAGGTATGAGTCTCACCTCTACTCTTCCCACCTATATAAGGTCATAAGATTAGAGTTTCCTTCTCTTGACCTTAGGGTTACTGAGGTTCCCTTGGACGACGTAACTTACAGATTGTTGAGGTAGACTTGGGGTCATAATAGTTTGGGATGATGCATCTGTGATGTTGACCCTGCTATTTCTACCTGATTAGGATCACTCTACCTTTCCTTTGATACCCCCTTTGAGCCCTGTCTCTCCTTCTGACGCTTCGTCGGCGTTGTCTTGTAAGCTCTGATTGTGGATAGGCTACCACCCATTTAGGATACGGTGATTCACCCTCTATCCTTATGGTCTGGTCTGACCTTCAAAGAATAATGTGGACTCTTTGGGGCAACCCAATTATTTTATAGGCTTTGGTCGCAGATAAGTCGCCATCTGTATGGGATCCTGAGAGATTCACTATCTACATGTACTATCGGTGCAAGCTTTAAAGGCATCGGGATGCTCCTGTGAGATAACCTTCCTTTATGACACAGTTAACTAGTCGTTATACAATTGTGACCAAGATTACTTTTATTGAGAGTATTTTTGGACACCCCCCAAGATGTAATTAACCCAAGGTATATGTCTCTTTGGGAGTTGCTCTTAACCCCAGAACAAGCACACATATGTTCCAAAGCATTTTTTTTATCTTGTTTCAAACGTACTCTTTTAGGCTATCACACGAAGTTTGCTCCACAAAAGTTCACGTGCTTTTTCTTGTTTGTCTTTATTATCGTATGTCCTTATTTTTTAATTTCTCTCTTCTCCAAATCATCCATGTGATCTGGAAGAGATATTTACTTGGAAAAGGAAATGATACAATGATAGACAAACTGATGACTCCTTCAAAAAAATTAAGGAAAAAAAGAACGAAATAGTTACAATCTTCACTGAAATTCAGATCTATTGATTTCAAACCTTAAATTTTACATTACGAAAGTAGAGACTTCATACATTTCTCGCTCATATGGCCAAGCATACGGTGCCACAGACTTGCATCTACCTTGGTTCCAAATAAATCAGTAAAAGTTGTTATTTCATTGATCAGGTAAAGGGTGCTTTCAATGTTACCCCGAGCCATCACCACTGCCTTGTCATCATCTGTGAAAGGAGTTACGAACTTTTATTTTGTCAGCTAGCTCACAGAGATGAGATTTATCTTCATACTTGGAACGTGTCCCACTTCAAATAAGTTTCGAGACTATTCCAATTGGCAACTTGATATTCACATCACCCTTTACAACGATATTGCATGTCTTGTTGTCTCCTAGATAAAATTTCTTAAATTACTCTGAGTATAATTTTTTAATTCCTCTTTATTGAATGCATCCATGCATGAATAGAGGTACAATAATCTACTATCAAAATTCAATATTGATTAGGGATAATACCAGATAATCACTTTGAATTTCGCCAGTGGAGACATTTGTAGAGAGATTCCTTTTATGTCCTCTATCAACATATTTTATTGGAGCTTTAAATCCTTTTTGAAATGCTCTTTCTTTTTGCATTCCCAACATTCTCGCTCGAATCTTTTCTCTACAAGCAATGAAACTTACAGGACGTCGCTCCAAATCTTATCTATTGATCCCACAAGAGAAACACACACCAATACCTTCCTCTTCGACCCTTCTTCACTTCACAAAAATGTTGTCGAAGAAATTTGTGCATGGGCATACTATCCATCATCGCCTAAAATCTCGAATATAAGGAAACCAAACCGAGGAATTGTAATTGGTGCGAGTATTTTGTGTGCTCTATAACCGAGAGCTTAGGTGCCCGAAGTAGGTCATATGGGCGTTGCAAGCCCAGGAGCGAGTGCGGGGCACGACCACGCTGCTTCCTTAGTCTACAAGTGCGGGTGCGCCAAATAGAAAACTTTGAGTTGCTTAGCGTGTTTCTTCCTTGCTGTTATGGTGCTCTTTCAGGCTGTTGTGGGTGCTTCAAATTAGGGCTGCCAAAAAAGCTCGTTGTTCGCAAACAGTTCGTGTTCGATTGGTCAATAAGTTCGTGTTCGATTTGTTTGATAAGTAAACTAGACAAACGTGAACAAATTTTTTTCGTTTGGTTAGTTAAACGAACCAAATACGAACAGTGATGTGTTCGTCAAATCGTTATTGTTCGAAATATAAAATAATTTAAAATAATTATATATAGAAAAATTATGATATTTTAAAAAATTAAATTTTATAAATTATAATACATAATAAATTAATAATAATAATATATTAATATACTATATTAGTAATATACTAATATAGATATTATATATTTATATAATATAAGTTATATAATCGTTAAGAAACGAACACGAACAGTGACTTCACGAACAAGTTCAAACACGAGGTTATTTCAAACAAACTAAATTTCAAACGAACCGAATACGAACACAAGCTCTATTCGTTCGTGTTCGGTTTGTTTACACCCCTACTTCAAACTCCACAAACCCAACACATACATAAATCAACCTTTTGTAGTTTATAATTTTAGTTTATTCAAAAAAAATTTACAAGTACTAGTTTCAAAATTATTGTTCATAGCTATGCCTCATATAAAAACTTGATATTTAAATTTTATTCAAACCCTTCACTAAACAAATTAACAAATAAACGATGAAGTGAAGAGTTTTAATTCTCTTAAGAGATCAAGATTTTTCCGACCAAATTATTTGTTAAGGTAATAAAAAACTTCAAAAAGTCCAACTTTTGTAAACCTGCTTTTTTTTCTTATAGATCCTTAGTAGCAACTATCTTAGAGGCCAGTGGTTAGTTTGTGCTTTAAATTGAAATTCAATCAAAGTTCCAAACTGAGCACAAGTTCTCGGTAGGGAGGGTTACTTTGGATGAGTCATTTTGGTTGAATAACATGATTAACGGGTGACTTAAAGAGTCCCTCATATCAGGTTCTGGCTCTCATAATAATTTTACTCAACCTGGTTCAAGTAAATATGAGTGCAGAACACATAATATAATTAATAGTCAAGCAGCTATAAGATTGATCAAACCAGCAGATATTCCCTTACAAACAATCTCTAAACCATCTTATCACACTTCCATGACTACACCACCCCCCCGCCCCACCCCCCCAACTATCCTCTCATCTACATTATGCCGAGATAAGCCTAGAGAAGAGAGCGAACTAGCACTCCCCTCCCTCAACAAAAAACACATTACAATCATATTCTGCATCATAATCTCCTTTTCAAACATCTAACTTTTCATTAATCACAAACTATAGCACATATTCTCATGAGCTAATCGCAGAAACTCTATAAATCTATTTGTGATTCATCAAATTCTGCAGAATGATGACAGAGTTATCAGCAAAGAGCTGTGAGCTAATTGAAAAGAATAGGAAAATAAAAATATAATACATATATAAATATTTGCTTACATGGCGAACTCAATGTTTATGTTTGAATTGGTTTGATGTGAAATGGCCATGAAAGCAGGTATTGAGAGGAGAATACTTGCAGGACAAGGATTATGAGAGCACTCGTCAACAACCTGCACTTCCACTGTGCCATCCTTGCATGGTCTTCCATACCCACTGAGACATCTGATTATGTACATTCTACCGCACGCAACACCATTGTCCCACAAGCTTTTGGACACTGCGGCAAACATTTTGTTTGCTGGGAGCTGATATTTACTGTCTCCGTAGCACTTGGTTGCTGTTCAAAGTGCAACGCAAATACTTAAATCAATATTCCTGTCACGGACTTGATAGTTTGCTCATTTTGCTTAGTGTTTGAAAATAGGGAGGTTAATTTGGACATTTACATGCATAGTATACAATTCTTATGTATTTATGTATCTTACACCTAAATTTCATATCTACACGCATTACATTACGCTCAATTCTGTATTGTCACATCAAAAATAGAATTATTATCACTTTTTTAAAAGCTTTAAAAGTGAAATACATGCATCTTTTTTTGTACTAGCTTAAAACACAAAAATATTATGTATGTAAACACAAAAATTTAGTTGAGATATGTAAACACATGAGAATTGTGTGCTATATATATGAATTTCTCTAATTTTTATAGATGGCTAAGAGTTTTTTTTACATCCATATTTTCGACAATGTTAAAATTATAGTTTTTGTAAATTATGCTAATGATTATCATATATAAACTTATTTCTTTATTTAAAGCCTCTTTGCTCATGTGGGAAAGTCTTCCAAGATATAGAATAAGAAGATAAAAAATAAATTGCTTACGAATGTATGGAGGATGATAGGAAGAAGCTGTGCCAACATCGCCCAGTGTGGGAACTGCTTCCTCCAGTAACCTCAGCCATAATAACAATAATGAAATTATAATGAAGAATCTCATAGTTTAAGCGAGGATAAAAGCACTAATCAATTAGAATAGTTAGATGCTAATGACCACAAGGGAGTGGTTTAATTTCCGCAGTCAGTCTTAATAACAACCTTCTTGTTGATAACCGCAAGAAAAAGGTAAAGGTTCCTTCGGTTCCAACCGTTGTTTAGCACTAATCACAATTAATTAGTAGATAAGCTTTTTTATGATAAAAGAAGAACGCTAAACTTAACAATGATTTACATGCTTATTACTTAAAGATTAAGTTACACATGATTCATAAGCACTGAATCAATTGTTTGCGTGCAAGCAACTAATTGCAATTACGTGCCTGTTAATTGTTCGATTAAAAGAGAATTAAAGGACGAAGTTACACATGATTCATTGGCACTCAAAATTTCTTCTTAATGTTGCAGGTTACATGTGTTCCACGTTGATACTTGATTAGATGAAATCTGATGACTCAAACTCCATTGCATGAAATTGGGGGGCTTTCTTAATTGGATTAAATAAAATGCTTCTGTTGGCATCAATTTTTTTGGATGTCATAAGTGTAGGGCGTCCACTTATGATCGACGAAAATTAGTTATCGCGTCGCGCACGAAATTGGCTAAAATTGGCCAGTTCGTCGGTGAAGTTATCCATATGACCTCAGACGACGAAATGGACCACATGAGTGCATGTCCAAAAAGTCGATTTCATCTACGAAGGACGCTCGTTAGACCACAGATTCGCGTGCGGGCAAAAAAAATGCTCAAATTTTTATTTTCGTCTCGATTGCTAAAATAAGTGGTCCGAACGACCCCAGACGATGAAACGGACAGTGTGGTCGCGTCCGGAACGTCGAATTTACCTAGGGGAGAATTTCATTTCGCTACGATGAAATGTTCGGCAAAAAGATGCGGAGAGACAATAATAATAATAATATTTTTTACTTCTCTCTCTTATCAACCAACCCATCCTCTTCTTTTTTTTTTATTTTTTTTTGCAAGAAAGCCCTTTTCTCTCTCCTGGTTAAAATAAAAGTAAAAAAAAAAAAAAAGCAGGCTCCTCTTCCTTTCCCCCCCCCTGGA